GTGGGATTGGTGGCCGCTCCACAGGCCCCGGGGGGCCCCGCGCTGAGGCACACAAGTGGCAGGGCTCAGTGAGGAGCCGCGCCATGCGAAGATGGCTGGTCTGCCTGATCAGAGCCGGCCGGCTCCGCCCCGTCCGGAGAAAATGGAGGCAGCGGTGGTGCCGGTGCCTAGCCTGGTGTGGTAAGCGTGGGCCGGGTGGGCCTTTGCCCCGCAAGCGGGGCTGGGCTGGGGGTCACTCACAAAGCTCCCAGAGCTGGGCCGGTCCAGTGCCTTCCTCTCTGTCTTTGCGTCGCCCCTGCTGTCTTTCCTGGCCTTTGTTGCCTTGGACTGCTCGGTCTCCCGGCATGGTCGCGGCACTCTCAGGAATCTTCTTTTGCATCGGCCCTAAAACCTCGAGACTGTAGTTGCTTTTTTTCATTGTAGATTAGTTGATCAGTGATTTATTCATTTTTTGTTGCTCTTGGAAATGCAAATAGTACTCTGGCAGTACAGCACACCGTTCACAGGCTCTCTCTGTCCTCTGGCACGCTCACTCCAGACCCGTCGCCATCTTTTTTTTTTTTGTCCTTTTTGTCCTTTTTCGTGTCCGGCAACGGATTGCAACCCTCAGCGTCGCGCCCGCACCGGACCAGGACCGGCAACGGGATCGCAACCCTCGGCGCCACGCCCGTACCTCGCTCAGCCAGTGAGCGGGAACCGGTCTGTATGTGGGATCCAAACCCCCGGCGGGAGCGCCGCCGTGCTCCCAAGTGGCACACTGTAGCAGTGCGCCACCGGGCCGGCCCACATTTTCAATACTTTATCCATTATTGTGGTTGTTGTAGTTAGGACTGTTGTACTTTATGTATTTTAAAAAAATTTATTTTTTAATTGACACATGTTGATTATACATATTTATGGGGTACAGAGTTGTATTTCAATAATTATGTTTAATGTGTGATGACCAAATCAGGGTAATTAGCATATTCCTCCTTGCAAATATTTATCCTTTCTTTTTGTGTAGAGAGCATTTGAGCTCTCATTTCACAGTATATTAACCTAGATTCCTCTGGACACTCCCCTCTCCCTCATTTTGTATTTCAGTTCTTACAGCTTATATATTAAGTTTTTATAAAGCTTATCAAGAAATTAAAGTCATTTTTAAAGTGATTTTTGTATTTCTAAGGGTTACATTTGCATTTATTTTATAGCTGCTTGAAGGAAATTTTGCCAAAGAAGTCAGCCATGAAATGGATGGACTTATTTTTCAGCCTATCGGAGTAAGTTCATGTGTCTCTGTTTGTGTATGTAATGTATACATATACATGTACATATAAAGTACATTTTCCTCAGACATATTTACTTAGGATTGAGTGCTGTGACTACTGCTTTTTGTTAAATTGTTCGTTATGATAGATTTCATTTATATCTAAATATATGTAATACTAAAATGAACACCTATTTGTTTTCACTCAGCTTAAGAAATGAACATTGTTGGTCATTAGTTTTTAAGGAAGTTAGTGTTTTAATATAAATAATTTTCTTATAATTCTTGCAAAATGAATGTTAGTTTACGTTTCTTTACTAGAAAACTGCCAATAACATTACATAAATGCTCATTTCCTTTTGTACCCTGGTATACCTTTAAGTATTAATATCTCTAAAACTTCATTTTGCTGTAAGTGAGTAAAATTCAGAGATGTCAATATATGAAGAAAAATAGAATTTTTGAATATTTATCCCATGTTGAATTTTTGAAGTGCACTGAAGAACTTTTACCAACTTAATAGTTATATCATTTATTTGGACTAAGCTGTGTTTTACTCTATAGCATGGTTTCTCAACCTCAGCACCATTGATGTGTTGGGTCAGACAGTTCTTTGCTGTGGGAGCTGTCCTGTGCATGGTAGGATGTTTAGCAGTATTCTCGATCTCTACTCACTAGATGCCAGTAGCATCCTTCCGCCCAGTTGTGACAACCAAAAATATACACAGACATTGCCTAATTTCCCCTGGACAGCAAAGTTGCCCTCATTTGATAACCAGTGCTCTATAGGGTAGTGTTTTTCAGAGTGTGGCACATGGAGGATGATTAGTATCACCCAGCAAGTTGTTATAGATGCAGTTCACCTCAGACCTACTGATTAGAAATTTGGGGGTGGGTCCAGCAGTTTGTGTTTTAACAAGCTGTCCACGTGGTTCTGACACATGTTCACGTATGAGAATCACTTACTCTATAAAAAGAGTTGTATTTCATGTGTGACCACCCTTTTATGTGCTGCATATTGCCTTCACTAACTCTGTCCTTAGAAATGAGGGTATGAGACACAACAATCACAATTACTTGAATTTGTTAAGACAAGTGAACAGATATGATGTTGATGGGTGGGAGTGGGGAGATGGAGAAGGGAGGGAGGAATCGGTAAAGGGACAGGAAAATCAACTACATTGTATATTGATAAAATTAAAAAAAAGAAAAAAGAAATGAGGGTATGAGCTAGTTGAGAAGTTGTATAGAGAGACATCAAACAGAGTACTTGAAAGGAAGGGAACTAATATTTTAGACACTATGTATTAAACACTATATTACTTAATGCTTTACACAATTACTTTACTGTATGTTTTCCATAAGTAGTAAAACTCTTCTATAATGCAAATTTAGGTACAACATGATATGTGATTGACTTCTGTCTTCTTCCCAGCCCTCCTTGCCAAACAGAGGGAGGATAAATCTTATCTTCTGTGGTTGAGGGAGGAGGAGATGGAGGAAAGGTAAAGGCTGGAAACGGAAATTGTAGAAAACACTGTCTTAGGAAGATAGAAATTGGATCTTTGAGTTCCAGTATTTTCCAGGCTCAGTCTCCCTAGATTGAAAGAAGTAAAGTCTGAATCTAGCTGTAATTACAGAAAATTTCAGTATGAAACTCATGGTTCAGACCTATGCCTATATGAGATTTTGGTATATGTAAAAGAAATGTCTGGTATAGTCTGTTGATTTGTTAGTCTGCTCCCATTCTAGTAGCCACAATTTTTATTGGAATGACATTGTAATTGATGTCTGGTAAGGCAAATCTCCCTGTTTGCTGGAATTTTCTTAGATATTTATGGACATTTGGTTTAACATTCTTAAGTTTCATAGTTCATTTGTCATATTACCCAAAAATTCCTGTTAGGAATTTAATTGGAATGGCTTCGAACTTAGATTAATTTGGAGAAAATTGATGTGTTTACAGTGTTAAGTCATCTTCTCAATGAATAAGTTTGGCTCTTTTTAGTTTTTTTTCTGTTCTCTAATTGAGTTTGTTTTTTATTATTGTTAGGCTAATTTCTAGATATTTATCATTTTCTGTTTTTATAGTAAATGGTGTTTGATTTTCTTTTTTTAGTTGGTACTTCTAGTGTACTGCTACACTATTGATTTAATTTATTGATTCAACAATCTTGCTGAATACTCTTAGTTCTAATAATTGTCTAATTTTATATATCGGTCAGGATCTCTAGTACTGAATTAAATATTAGATTTAATTGGATGGAGGAAAGGGAGACATTTATACCTTGTTATCAGTCGTAAAGCAGGAGTAGTTAAATTCTTTCCATTAAGTGTGTTTGTGGTCAGTATCTGTTGGATACTGTTTATTGTGTTAAGAAATTTTTGTTTCTGTTGTCCCAAAAGTTTTTTTAAAAAATCATAAATAGCTTTTGGGCATTACAAGGCATTAACACCTAAAGCATTAATTTTAAGGTATTAATGCCTTTTCTTTATTGAGATTGTCATTGTATTATCCTTTTTATGCCATTTTTATAGAAATTATATTGATTTTTCTCATGTTGACCCATCCTTTCATTCCTCAGATATAAATGCCACTTGGTTATGATACCTTTGATCAAGGTATACCTTTGAATCTGAGTGTAAGAGTTTCTTGAGGATTTCTGCCACCTTATTTCTTACAGTTTTTCCCCTCTTTTTTTTATATATTCAAAATAATGAAGATAATATTTCTTATTGTGGAAAAAATTATGTAAGTTGCAAGTAATACATGAAAATTCATGCCTATGATTTAAAAAGTCAATTAAAATAGCATGACTTATACTGAAAAATAGAGCAGTCTCTTCTCTTACATTCCCTATATCCAAAGTGCCACTCCTAGGAGGCAATCATTTTCTGTTGTTTTAGCTGGTTATTTTGGTTGTTGTTTTTGTTTTGCTTTTACTTCCGTATTTCTACAAAATCTGTGCTGCCGTTTCTTAGTTTTCTGTTTTTTACATGGTCTGTTTATACTGTGAAGAATAGAATTGAACCCTCTAATTCCACCAACACACCTATCCTCCTTTCTCCTTCTATCATTCCATTATAATTATACATTTGGTCAAATGAATATTCAGTATTTATATTTTTATGGTGACATAAATATTGTTTATATTTGAGTCAAGTAGTATAGTATACTATTATATTTTCTTTCTTAGAAAACACTTTTTGGGGCCGGCCCGGTGGCGCACTGCTACAGTGCGCCACTTGGGAGCGCGGCGGTGCTCCCACCAAGGGTTCGGATCCCACATACAGACCGGCCGCTCACTGGCTGAGCGAGGTGCGGGCGCAACACCGAGGGTTGTGATCCCGTTGCCGGTCCTGGTCCCGTTGCCGGTCCCGGTCCAGTACGGGCACGACACTGAGGGTTGCGATCCGTTGCCGGTTACGAAAAAAGACAAAAAGGAAAAAAAAAAAAAAGAAAACACTTTTTCCGTAGAGTTGGGAATTGTCTTATATTTTCATTTGTTATGATTATCAGTATTTCTTCCCTCAGACTCTCAAAAAGAACTGTTAAATTTTTTTTCAGTGCAATTAAATATATCAGGTCCATTTTTTGCTTGAAGGCATTCCTCCCGAAGTCTTTCATTCTCTAGTCCTGGTGCATAGCTTTTTCTTCTTGGAAGTTCTTTTCACTGTCTCATCCTGGAAATTCCATTTACCATTCTTCTCTCTTAGATCCCCTACTTCTTGGAGTTTATGTTTTCCGCTTTCTTGGTTTGAGTGACCTTGAAAGCCTGATGCTATACAAACTAGTCCTTATACTTATTAGGCTTTTGTTTCAGCTATAAACTGAGGAGGTTATTCTCAGTAGTCTCTAATCTGCTCATTACTTTCTACAGTTCTATGACTGTGACTTGGCCCTAAATTGTTTATTGTGTTTGCATAGTTCTGTGCAACTTATAATTCTACCTTTATTATATGTACTAGAGAGTTAGGGAAAAGGTACAATAAACTTTGAAGTTCAAGACTAACTGGTCTAAATGTCAAAAATTTCCAGAAGTTTTAGTAGGTCTACTCTTAGTTTACGTATTTAATTTTGTATTTTTAAAAATTTTATCTTATAAGTCATAATTGATAATAATATTAGACAATTGAACTGAAGAGAGGTGTTATAATTTTACTCAGATTCTCTATTTGTAATAAACCTTCTAAGACCAGATTTTCTCTGCTTCTTCTTCCTTTTGAATGGCTGTTTGTCTTTCTACTTTTCTTCTAAGATATTTCTATCTCCCTTTCCTTTTCTTTATAGAGACATATTTATTTTTATGGCTATGTGTTGTGGACTCCCAAATAAACCTTCAACCATGTCTTTTATTTTGCCTCTAGTATTCTGTTTCTTCACTATTTTATACACTTCTATTAGGGACATCCTATTTTCAAGTGGTTACTAAAGTCTGTTAAGTGGCTCATCACGTTGTACTTTTAGGTTATCTTTGATTTCTATTCCTTTTTTTATCATGTCAGATTGAGTCCACATTGTTTTACACTCAAGCTTTTTCAGTAGCTTCTTCACAGCCGCTTGTATCTGTACTGTTTTTCCAGTCCATCCCTGTTGTTTGGCCTAGTAAAATTATATTCTGGAAGGAAGTCTTATATGAGGGAAACAGTGCTGACTGATAGAAATATAATGCAAACTACATATGTGAGCCACATATATACTACAAAATTTTCTCATAGCCATATGAAGAAAATTAAAAAGAAACTGGTGAAATTAATTTTAATGTTTTATTTAAATGACTATCAAAAATATTAACATTTCAGCATTTACTCAGTATAAAACAGTTATTATTTATGTAGTAGGTATTTGAAGTCTAGTGGTAATTTTACATTTGCAACATATCTTGTACTTGCCTCCTGTCAAACGCTCAGTGGTCACACATGTATTGGACACTACAGGCATAGGTATATTGATTCCTCTCTTCCTCTTTCTCATATGTGGCATAGCATTTGTACATAATTCATTTGTGGTCT